CAATCCCAGCCCCCGGCTGGAGCCCTGCACCCCCCCGCACCCCCCACCACGGACGACAGCCAGGCTCATCACTCTGCAGTCCCAGCCTGAGACGAAGCCTCGCCCTCTCCAGCTCCATCAAGAAACGAGACATCCCTGCCCGTGTGGCCCCTGGGATGCAAATACCGTGCAACCCAAGCTAGAAACTGTGCACGACTCTGCAACGTTTCAAGTGCTTTCCAAACGCCCAGGCACTTTCCCAGGAAGCCCCGAAGAATGCAAAGTCCTCTGCAGATGAGGCCATAGGCACCTCATTCTACATCACCCCATCTGCTCTACAATCCTCAGGGAACTCAACTACAGGGAATCCCCGAAGGGCCCCGCAGACCTGCCCGCCACACAGAACAGGCCCCGGGACGACCTGGCGACCTGAGCCCTTATTTCAAAGGAAGGAGGCGGCGCTGATGCTCTCCCAGCTCCGCAGCTCAGTCTCTCAAGCACTGGGTTCTAGGGCTTGGAAAACACAATTTCTTCAAGTCTGCCCATAAATCTGCATCTTAAATGCTCTGCGGTCCATAATAAATAATTCACATAAGGGGCCAGTTGCATGGAGCACAGCGGGATACGAGAGGAAGAACACAACCCTGTAGCCCAGATTTAATTCCATCAGCCAAAGTGCCCAGAACGCCATTAGGCCACACGGAAAGGAAGAGTCATCTTTACACCCGCTCGCTTCACTCCCTATGCAAAATCGTGACGAGAGGGGCTGTGAATCCTGGCACCCTCAGCTCATTTCACACGACGCAGGTACAAATGGCTTTATTTGCCCTAATTGTGGAAAATAATGAGCTGTCCTTCACCTCCCTCTATGTCCTCTATCCAAAGGTGCTGCTCATTTACAATGGAAAAACAACACTGAGGCATTGTTCTTAAGGAAAAAATTCAAGTCGTTCTGAGTTTAATCCTACTGTGCGGAGAAGGAGATGAGCTTCTCCTGGGTGATGGCACAGCGACAAAATGAGTTAATTACCATCTCATCGCAAGATGGATCTACTTGTCATGAGAACAGGAGCCATTATTTCACACAAAATAATGACCCAGATAAAAAGGAACGGCTGTAGGCAGTAGCCACCAGAGACACAGCTTCATCTTGGCCTAAGTGAATGGCAATTAACAAGTGTCTTCACCGTTCGTGTGTGTGTGTGTGTGTGTGTGTGTGTGTGTGTAGGGACCAAGCCATTCATCAAATATTTACTGAAAACACACAAATATTTTTTTTTTTACTACCTTTCTTCCCAGGGAACTCCTGTGGTCTTCCTCCCGTGTGATGACAGACAAATTTCACGCCCGTGTGAAATCCTGCCATCGGATGGAACAGCTGTTGGCCCCGCAGAGAGCCCCCACGCCCGTCTCTTTGCTGCACCAGAGGCGGTGTTTTCCTGAGAAATCACGTCCAGCAACAGGAAACAGGAGCAGAAGGCGGGGCCCAGTCCCATCGTTTCGTCCTGCTCCTCCTGGTTGCCATGGTCACAGGCCTAAAAGCCAGAGCCGCAGCCGCCACCGACAGCAAGACGGGCCGGACCCTCCCGGGGGAGCCCCCAGCCACAGACGGGGCAGGGACAGTTGGCGAGGCCACCTCCACACCTGGGCAATCCCGGGTGGGCTGGGGGCTTCCCCCACTGTGCTGACCATGACCCCTAACTGCGTCTCCATTGAGAGAAACAGGGGCCAGGGACTCCGGGACACAGCTGGAGAGCAGTTATGGGAAACCGCTTGCCTCCCGAGCGTGCAGGTTGGTCCAGTCTGCCTGAACCCGGGCAGGTTTATTTGAAAAACCAGGGGTACTGGGAAGGCAGGGGCATGACGGCCCGGTGGGCTTCGAGAGTGTATCATCTGCAAAGTGTTAAAAAAGAAGGGTATGGAGATTGTCACACTAAGTGAGGTCAGACAGACAGAAAGACAAACATCATACGACATCACTTATATGCGGAATCTAGAGAAAGATACAGACGAGCTTATTTCCAACACAGAAAGAGACCCTCAGACACAGAAAACAAACTTAGGGCTACCAGAGGGGAAAGCGGGGAGAAGGCGAGGGATAACTTAGGATTTGGGAATTAACATATACATATGACTATATATAAAATACCTAAACAGTGAGGCCCTACTGTGTAGCACAGGGAATTATACTGAGTTTTTTGTAAAAACCTATAAGGGAAAAGAGTCTGAAAAAGAATATATAGACATATACACACACGCATATATGTAAGTACATATATGTATAACCGAATCACTGCGTTGTACACCTGAAACTAACATGATATGGCAAATCAACTATATTTCATTAAAAAAATAAACAATTTTTACATGCTAATAACAAAATTCTTATGCAAACACAGAAGGAGCAGGAGTCAATGACTGATCTAACTGAATACTGATCAAACCAGGAGATGCTGTTCCCCACACACAGTCAGTTGGAGGGGAAAGAACGGTGGGACGAAGGTAAAAATTAAGCCATGAGTAGCCGACGTCTTCCGGGGCATACCAGTCATAACTCTGAGGTTCTATCCTGTTGGACAGATGCCCACCTGCAGGCACTATAGACACACAGCAGCTGGGCGCCCGCCCGCCACGATGCTCAGGAGCTGGTGTGGCCATGAGGCAGAGGGTCCGTCCTGCAAGGGTCTGGTTGGGTTAAGACAAAAGTGCCAAACCACACGTTTTTAAAAGAGCCTGTTGTATGGTACGGCCAGAACCTATGCCCCATCCTACCAACTTGCCCTCAAATACTCTTAAGCATCTGAGTCCTCATTACAAAACCATTTCCACAACCATTTTTCCCCAGGACTCAGATGATGGGGAAATTCCACCTCTAGAAGGTCCCTGCCAAGTTTATGAGGACAAGTCATTCACAGCAAATCCAAAGAGGATGGCTCTATTTATACGGACAGCTCCCAGAGTTACAAAGCACCCGTGTTCTCAGGCTTAAGCACATGTCAACAAAAACTGCTCTTCCTCCCATTTCTTAAGTAATGATCCAAATTCTAAGCAGAGTAGAAGGAATCTTCCATCGTCCGAGTAAAATTACCCAAATGTCTGACCAAAGAGGTCATCTGATTCCCGGGCTGCGGATCTTGGCTCCCACCACACTTGAGTGATGATTCCCTGGGCTTGAAGAGCCTGAACACTCAACAAGGCTGAAGGGAGGGAGGCAGGGAGTGACCCTCCACCCCCAGTAAAAAACCCAGAGTTACTGGCTGTGGAAAGGAACCACCCAATCCTTTCACTCTTCTGCCAAACTCTCCACGACTCTTGCTGCTTTCACAGCTGAGTCCGAGCCTGTCCTCCCACCTCTCATGGCCCCTTTCTTGCAGAAGGCCCTGATCTTCCTTTCATTCTGCTGTCCTTCACACCAGCTGCTCGCGTTGCTGGGAGGCCCCCCTGCCAACGTCGCCCCGCCCCGGCCCTCCGCAGCCCCATCAGACCTCATCCTGCCCTCTCCGCCTGACGCACCGCCCTGACCCCACACCGCTCTGGGTCTCCACCGCTTCCCTGCTGCTCAGGCTCATCACTCGTATTCAGAAGAGCTTCCCCCCTTGTGAGGACGTGAGGGCAGAAACCATGACAATTTTATCCTCTGCTTCCCAGCACACCGTACCATTTCTGGCCCAATGCTGACCACCTATGATATTTACTAATAAACTCACTAGCTAACTAATTCACTAATTCACCAATCAACTGGCAAACAGATGGGGAAATGAGGGAAACAATGACAGACTTTATTTTTCTGGGCTCCAAAATCACTGCAGATGGCGACTGCAGCCATGAAATGAAAAGACGCTTGCTCCTGGACAGTGTATTACAAAGCAGACACATTACTTGGCTGACAAAGGTCCATCTAGTCAAAGCGATGGTTTTTCAAGTAGTCATGTATGGATGTGAGACCACAAAGAAGGCTGAGCCCTGAAGAACTGATGCTTTTGATTGAACTGTGGTGTTGGAAAAGACTCTTGAGAGTCCCTTGCACTACAAGGAGATCAAACCAGTCCATCCTAAAGGAGATCAGTCCTGAATATTCATTGGAAGGACTGATGCTGAAGCTGAAACTCCAATACTTTGGCCACGTGATGCAAAGAACTGACTCACTGAAAAAGACCCTGATGCTGGGAAAGATTGAGGGCAGGAGGAGAAGGGGATGACAGAGGATGAGGTGGTTGGATGGCATCACCGACTCAATGGACATGAGTCTGAGTGAACTCCAGCAGGGAGCTGGACAGGGAGGCCTGGCGTGCTGCAGTCCATGGGGTCGCAGAAAGTCAGACACGACTGAGCGATTGAACATCAACAACAACTGACTGACTGTATCTCAAACAAATCCTAATCCCCTCAACAGGATGGGGAGCTGCCAATCATCTTGGAAGACTGGGTAGGGAGGAGAAGGTGAGCATTAAGCGACGAACTTTACCCGTTTGGGCAAGGACATCCCTCCCACCATAGACGTCAGCGTACGGGAACAGTGCACCCAGCAATTAAGCAGGAAACTTCACTCGGCCCAAACAGAAGTGCAAAACCAGACTCAGTTCTGGGCAGGAAGTGAAGCCCCTGCAACGAGGCAGTTTCCCCAGGATGATTGCACGCCCGTGGTCGCTGGACGGTGGCAGGCTCCCGCTCGCTCTAGGGACAGAAGGAGGCTCGTGGCAGTGAAGACCCACAGGGCAAGTGGGAGCTGGGAGCTGGGGGCTCACACCGCCTTGAGGACTTGAAGGGCTTCCTGGCCGTGGGGCCAGCAGGCCTGCCAGCTATTAACGCCACTCCAGCCTTAAAAAGGTGGGGTCTGGCATCCTGGGAGGCAGGAAGCCACCTTGCTCCAGGGTCAGGGGCAGCCTGAGCAGGAAGGGGCGGCCCCTGCGAGGTCTCCCGAAGCCCCTGGTTAGAGCAGGCCCGGACCGAGGCCCACCCGCAGTTCATCCGGGGAAACGTCCAGCCAACCCACCCCACGGTCCATCGACTGCAGCACTGACCTTCTTAATGAACTCTGGGAGGATTTTCTGGTCTGTCAGGTGGTCTAGGGAAGAACAGCAATCTAATTCCAAGATGTAGCCTTCATTGTGAAGATCAGCATTCTGAGATCTGAAAAGAGAAATACATACACACATCAAGATTCTGCACTATATATATATATATATATATTTAAAAATCACTGGGATGTTCAATGAAATCCTAATTTTTTCCCTTAAACGAATCACCCAAAAGGCAGTTTTCAAAAAATAACTGATGGTAAAAAACTCAAATAGTATAGAGGGACAGGGGTCTACGTCACGGAAAAACCTCTATGACGAAAACGCATCATTATGGAACGACAAGTTCAGTACAGCCTGGCTCGTCTGTTAAACAAGCACACATGCACTCATGCGCACTCACACACATGCATTCACACACATTCACATGCACTCACAAACACGCATTCACATACATTCACATGCACTCACACACACGCATTCACACACATTCATGCACTTGCACTCACATGCACTCACACACTCACATGCACTCATGCACACTCACATGCACTCACATGCACACACACTCACACACATTCACATGCACTCACACTCACACATGTACTCACATGCATTCACGCACTTGCACTCACATGCACTCACACACTCACATGCACTCATGCACACTCACGCACTCGCACACGCACTCACACACTCACACACATTCACATGCACTCACACACACGTACTCACACGCATTCATGCACTTGCACTCACATGCACTCATGCACACTCATGCACACTCACGCACTCACATGCACACGCACTCACACACTCACACACACGCACTCACACACACACTCACTCACGCGCACTCCAGTCACGTTTGTTTCCCATTGCTGGCTTCTGCCCGCAGGGCACAGAAACAGAACCATTAAGACGCAGGCGAACCCACACCCGCGGACAGCACTGACCCTGGAGGACGCGGATGGCCTGGGAAGGAGCTGGGTGTGGACGCTGCTGGCGACCCAAAGGGACTCTGGCTGGATCACTAATTTTTTCACTTTTTTTTTCTTGAAGAGAAAATATTCATGTGTCACTCAGAAATTTTAAAAATAATTTGGAAAAGATTTTTTAAAGAGTTCAACCCCTCCAGAGGGCAATCTGGCAAAATCTATCAAAACTAAAAATGCATTAAAGAAAGACTATAAGGCATGGGGGGAGGGTTGTAAATTAGTAAATTAGGAGTTTGGGATTAACATATACACATCTATATAACAGAATACCAACAAGGACCTACTGCACAGCACAGAGAACTCGACTCAATATCTTGTAATAATCTACAGACGAAAAGAATCTGAAAAAGAACATGCATGTATGTATACACACATACACATGTCTGACTCTCTGTGACCCTATGGACCATAGCCCGCCAGGCTCCTCTGTCTATGGGGATTCTCCAGGCAAGAATACTGGAGGCGGTTGCCAGGTCCTCCTCCAGGGGATCTTCTCAACCCAGGGATTGAACCCAGGTCTCCCACGTTGCAGGCAGATCCTCTATGCCTGAGCCACCAGGGAAGCCCATACTATGCACACACATATGCACACACACACATATATGCACACACGTGTGTGTAACGGGCTGTCAGGGCGGCAGTGTGGGCCACGTGGGCCGCCTGGTCTCTGCCACCGGGACTGAGCTTGCTCTGTGCAGGGTTCCAGGCGATGGGGCCGGCAGGTCTGCATGACTTTGCTTTTCTTCCAGGAAATGTCCCGGCTTCGTGTTCTTTCCTGGTTCTCTCCTCCCAAAGCCTTCTCACTGAGAACACTCTTGGCTCTCCATGGTTCTGACAGGTGGGGGGCCAGGCACCGGGGCTTCAGACTGGCTTCCCTGGGTGTGGTGGCTGTGGGGGGGCTGCAGCCAGCCTCCTCCCAGAGCGGGCCTTCTCCGGAAGCCCCCCGTATCCTCAGCGGAAGGGCCCTGAGAAGTCCTCAGCTTAGGACGCCAGGGTGACGCATGGGGCCACCTCACAGAAAAGAAAAAGGCACTCTGTACACATATGACACATACATGTATGGCTGTGTACCACAAATGAGTTTCCCATGTGCACGCATGTGAAATAAAGAATATATATATATATATATAGCTGAATCACCTTGCTATACACCTGAAACCAATGTGATGCTGTAAATCAACCACACTTCAATTCAGAAAAACAGAGTGACTCCAAGGCGACTGAAGCAGGCATCTGAGGGCAAAAGTGGACGTGAAGGGCTGCCTGTGGCAAACCCCTTCAGCCCTGCGTCAAGACAGAGGCGCCCACGTGCCCTGCGGAGGGCAGGCTGCTTCCCCATCCCCACCACTCACTCACACACGTGACCCAACGCTGGGCACACTCAGCAGCAAGCGGCCACCAGAGGGAAACCCCATCACTCACGCCGCTCCTTTGAGGGACCCCAGGATGACACTCGGGGGCGAGGGACTCCTGGTAGCCACGTGGTCAGAAACGGAAGCAGACCGGCCGGCCCAGCGGGACAGCAGACCACAGGAAGTGGATGGCAGCCATGGGTCCACGGAATGGGCCCTCTCCTTGGGGGGAGCAGGACTGCGAGACCAGGGCCAGGCTCCCCAGGGCTCACGCCACGTGCATAGCGCCTCTCCAAGGCCAAGGGCAGGGCAGGGCCCTCCTCGCCCATGCAGGAGGGTCCCTACCACGGAGGGGCTGCGGCCACCCTGTGAGAGCTGGGGTACCCCGACAGGCACCTCCACGCTGCATCCCTGAGACACGCACATCCCACAAGGCAATGATTTCTGCATGCCTATTGGCCACACTATTTTAAGACGTGTTTCTAGGAGTCTTACCTATCATTCAAAGCGATGTATATGCTGCCATGAACAATTACACTCAGGACCTCCCTCGTGGCTCAGTGGTAACGATTCTGCCTGCCAATGCAGGAGACACGGGATCGATCCCTAGTCTGGGAAGATCCCACGTGCCTCAGAGCAACTAAACCGATGAGCTCCAACTACTGAGTCCATGCCCCAGAGCCTGGGAGCCTCAAGTCCTGAGCCCACGTGTGGCGACTACTGAAGTCTGTGAGCCCTAGAAGCCACGCTCCACAAAAGGAGCCCCTGCACCGCGTCTGGAGAGCAGCCCCGCCCTCCACAGCCAGAGAAACGCAACCCCAGAGAAGCCCATGCAGGGACGAAGACCCAGCATGGCCACAAATAGATAAATGATTAAAAAAAAAAAACCTAGAATTTAAAAAAAATCTAAATTCAAAAGTGGAAAAGTTAAAGAGGATTTGGATTTCCCCACATGTGCAACTGTGATTAGGTAAGCAAGTGTCAATAACTTATTTTGATTTTAATTTCCCCATTAACAAATCCTTTCAGGGGAGAGACTGAGATTCGTACTTCTGATATGTAAAAGAATCAGCTGATTCCAAACTGGATACGCTGGAATAAACTAATTATGAAAGAATCAACCAATTCTGAGCCCCCTCCCTTCTTGCCTTAAAGCTTCATCAGAGGTAAGATTCATGTTCCTTTTTTGCCCCATGTTCTTCTCCCCGGGGTTATTCTCACCATGCTCTGAACAAAAGACATGCTAAGAGGAACTAAAGCAGAAGATTCCAGACTTTTAAAAGAGAAGACTTAGTCAACACACAGTCATGTGCATCCTGAGGGGGTCTCAGACAACAAAGACAGGAATCGGAGAAGGAAAGTCCTTGGATGAGAGATCCCAGTTGCTGTCACATGGGGACATCAGCTGGTACAAGGATATTTACAAATACCCACTGACATTTTAAATGACTAGAGTGGAAAACAGTGACCACTGAACATAAGTCAAATAGGCATTTCTCTAAAGGTGACATCCATATGGCCAAGAGGTACATGAAAAGATACTCAACATCACAAATTATTAGTTAGTTTAGTTGCTCAGTCATGTCCGACTCTTTGCGACCCCATGGACTGCAGCACACCAGGCCTCCATGTCCATCACCAACTGCCGGAGTTTACCCAAACCCATGTCCATTGAGTTGGTGATGCCATCCAACCATCTCATCCTCTGTTGTCCCCTTCTCCTCCCGCCTTCAATCTTTCCCAGCATCACAGTATTTTCAAATGACTCAGCTCTTCGCATCAGGTGGCCAAAGTATTGGAGTTTCAGCTTCAGCATCAGTCCTTCCAATGAACACCCAGGACTGATCTCCTTTAGGATGGACTGGTTGGATCTCCTTGAAGTTCAAGGGACTCTCAAGAGTCTTCTCCAACACCACAGTTCAAAAGTATCAATTCTTCGGTGGTCAGCTTTCTTTACAGTCCAACTCTCACATTCATACATGACTACAGGAAAAACCACAGCGTTGACCAAATGGACCTTTGTTGGCAAAGTAATGTCTCTGCTTTTTAATATGCTATCTAGGTTGGTCAAAACTTTCCTTCCAAGGAGTAAGCATCTTTTAATTTCATGGCTGCAATCACCATCTGCAGTGACTTTGGAGCCCCCAAAAATAAAGTCAGCCACTGTTTCCACTGTTTCCCCATCTATTTGCCATGAAGTGATAGGACCAGATGCCATGATCTTAGTTTTCTGAATGTTGAGCTTTAAGCCAACTTTTTCATCCTCCTCTTTCACTTTCATCAAGAGGCTCTTTAGTTCTGCTTCACTTTCTGCCATAAGGGTGGTGTCATAGGGATTATGATATTTGGTAAAGTAAATTAGACAAAGACAAATATTGTTACTATCGCTCATGTGTGGAATATTAAAAAATCATACAAATGATCTTCCTTAGAAAACAGAGACAGCCTCACAAACAAGAAACTATAGTTACCAAAGGGGAAAGCAAGGGATAGAATGAGGAGGGATAAACTAGGAGTTTGTGATTAACAGACACATACTACTGTATATAAAATGTAAATGTTCAATATTTTGTTCTAATCTATAAGGGAAAGGAATCTAAGGAAATAACTGAATCACTTTGGTGCGCCTTGGAACCAACACAACATTGTAAATCAACTACAATAAAAAAGAATCTTCTAGTGAGAAAGCAAAAAACAAGAAAGTCAACATTGTTTCCAGTTTGTAGAACAGCCACAGAATGAAAGGAGGGAAGCTGGGTCCC